TCCCGCGCTTCCGCGTTTGTGGATTGCTCTCTGCTCATTGGTCGGCTCGCGTGTCAATCATAGTTCTCACCCAATCGCCGAAGTCGCTCATCACCCTCAGCCAATCGCAGCCCGCCGGTGGCGGTGGGCGGGTCCCCGCGGCTCCGGTGCGGACGGGGAGCGATGGCGGCGGCGGCTCCGTCGCCGCTCACCGGGGTGGGCTGGGCCGCGGGGCCCGAGGCCGTCCCGCCGGGCTGGACCGCGGTACGGGGGGCACGGGGAGGGCACGGCGGCCGCACGGAGCCCGTCCCGGTGCCGCTGACGCGCCCCGTGCCCGCAGATCACGGTGACGGCGGAGGGCGCGCCCGCCGTGGTGGGCAAAGGCTTCGGGCACCGCGGCGGAGGGTGGTACCTGTGTGTGCGTCCCGCGGCAGCGCAGGTAACGGGGGCACCGGGCACGGGCGGTGCCGGGGTCCCGTCCCGGTGGCTCCCGGGGGAGGAACTGGGATCGGGTCCCGGCATCAGACCAGGGGTGACGGAGGGTTCGGTTCCCGGTCCAAAACCGAGGTCCTGTCTCGTCCTGGCGGCTCCCGGGGGAGGAATCGGGAGCGGGACCAGGACCGGAGGGGAAGGTTTGGGGCCCGGTGCCCGTCCCGGTCCCTATTTCCCGGAGTGGGACCCGGTTCCCGGTGCCTGTCCCGGTTCCCGATGCCCATCCCGGTGCCCCCCAGCCCCCGCCGTGCCCGGTGGTGACGGACGTGCTGGTGCTGAGCGAGCGGAGCCCGCAGCCCCCCGGCTACACCCGCGCCCCCGAGTTCCCTGAACCCCGTAAGTGCCCCCCCGGGGGTGACCCCACCCGAGGGCTTTTCCCCTGTGCCGCCCCCCCCAGTGCCCTCCCGGTGCTGTGTCCCGTTTTTCCCCTCAGGAACCGGCGTTTCCCGGAGGAAAAGGCTCCTGGTGAAGCTGGAGCAGCCGAGCGAGGCCGCGGCGGTGCTGGAGCTGCAGCTCAGCTCCAAGGGCAAAGTCCTGCCCCTCTACACCAAAATCGGGTATGGGGGGGGGGTTCCCGCAGCCCCCTCCCTCCCCCTTTTCCTGGTGTCCCGCCCTCCCCAACCCGGGAATTCGGGGGATTGTTTTCCAGGGAAATGGGGGGTTTCGCCATTTGGTGCAAGAAGGGGCCAGTTGGGCCCCAGCCCAGCCCCAGAACGAGGCCGCTCAGCACCGGGATGGAGAAGCTCTCGCTGCAGCCCCCCAGGTACGGCCACGGGGACCCCCCCCCCCCCCCCCCCCGGGGGCCCCCGGGCCCCCCCCCCCGGGGCCCCCAGGTACAGCCCCCCAGGTACGGCCACGGGGACCCCCAGGGACTCCCAGAGACCCCCTCAGGGAACCCTCACAGACCCCCAGGTACGGCCACAGGGACCCCAGAGGGACCCCCAGTACAGCCCCCCAAGTACAGCCACAGGGACCCCCAGTGCAGCCCCCCAGGTACCACCCCCAATTCCAGCCCCAGTTACTCCCAGTACATCCCAATTCCAGCCCCCCCAGGTGCCCCCACCTGCCCCATCCCGGGACTGGGAATCAATCCCGGTGTCCATTCCCAAGGGCTGGAGCTCCTTCCTGAGCAATTAATTCCCTAATTAATGACTCTCATCAACACCCCCAGGCCCCCCCCTCCATCCAGCACCAAAGGCCGCTCCCATCCCGAATCCCTGCCTGACCCCTCCGGGATCTACGGCCTCTCAGGTAAAGCTTTTCCTCGGAATTCCGGGATTAAAGAACAACCCCTTAAAGAGGAGCCTGGGAATTGGCTCCCAGCTCCCTCCCTGTGCCTGGGAAAGGCTGGGATGGGGCTGGATTTTGGGAAAAACCTTCTTCCCAAGCCTTCAGGAAAACCTTTCCTGGAGGATTCCTCCCTTCCTGAAGGATTTTTCCCTTTCCCTGGAATTTTTTTCCTGGAATTTGGAGGTCATTCTCGATGCCAAGTGTCCCCTTCCCTCCTCTTTTCCATGAATTGTGTGTTTTGGGAATTTGGAAAGGTTCTTTTCCCTCTTTTTTCCCAGCCATGGACGGAGTTCCCTTCGCCCTCCACCCCAAGTTCGAGCCCAAGCTCAGCTCTGGCCCCGCTGTGAGTCTCCCTCGAGCCCTTATTTCATTAATTACCCCCTAATTAATAATCAATTACCTCTAATTAATAATCAGCCCCCTAATTAATTAATAATTCCCCTCTTTTAATCCCATTAATTAACATTTCCCCCCCTCTTTTTAGCCAATTCTGGCCGACCTGACAGTGAAATCCCTCGCTGACATCGAGCAGGAGGTGACACCCCTGGAATTCTGGGAATACTGGGAACGCTGGGGGAGTGCTGGGAATGCTGGGCACATTCCTAAGGGTTTTCATTCCCCTTTTTTCCCGTGTTCCCAGTACAATTATGGATTTGTGGTGGAAAGGACAGCGGCGGCTCGGCTGCCCCCAGGCACCTGAGCCCTTCCAGGCGACATTCCAAAGGGAATTCCAGAGCCTTGGAGCTGCTCCAGGAGGAAATAAACCTGTTTCTCTACCTATCCACGGATTCCTGGCATGGATTGGGAACACAGGGCGGCACCTGGGGAGGGTTTATCCCAGACTTTTAGCCCCCAAATCATCTTTTCCGAGGTGTTCCCAGGATTTTGGGATGTCCTTTCCTACCACGCTTCGGGGCTGGTTTATTCCCAAGTTTTCCATGGAATTTTCCAGCCCCAAACACTTTTCAAAACACCTCGATTTGAGCTTTTAGTTCCCGAATTCCCCAAATGTTTCCTGGAGATTTGAGGCTTTTCCTTTAAATTTGAGGGGTCTCCTTGAAAATTTGAGGATTTTTCCATGAAAATTTAAGGTATTTCCTTGAAAATTTGTGGATTTTCCATGAAAATTCGAGGATTTTCCTTGAAAACTTCCCCCACATCCCCCCCCAAAGAAATTCCCCAGCACATCCTGGAAAAAAGAAAAAACCACCTCCAAACTGCGGCCGTTTCCTTTCCCAGAGGTGGATTTGGGGGTGGAAAATCCCCGCCGGGAACGCTGGGGGCGGGGTTGGGATGGCAGGACACGGCTCTGGAGTCGGGAATTCCCCTCAGGAAGGCACTTGGAGCTTGGAGCTCCCCAGCAGGAACTGCAGGATCCGATCCACGGACAAGGCGAGCAGGAAGTCGGCCAGGAGGACCTGGGAGATCACGAGCTTGAACTGCGGAGAGAGCGGGATTCGGGATGGGAGAGGGGAAACACCCCCTGGAATCCTGGGATGGGAAGGGACCACAAAGCCCATCCCATCCCACCCCATTCCATGGGCAGACCCTCGGGATCCACCCGGCCATGGAAGGTGTCCCTGCCCAGGGATTGGGATGAGCTTCCAGGTCTTTCCCACCCAAACCATTCCAGGATTTTCACCCACGACACCCCCAAATCCTCCTTCCCGGGGCTCCTCCTCCATCCACCCTCTTCCCAGCCTGGATTTGGGCTTGGAATTGCCCCTCATGCCGGTGCAGCCCCTGCCCTTGGTCCTGTTGAATCCCGTGAAATTCCCACCTCTCCATAATCCTTGGGATGGCACCTGGATGAACCACCCCTTTGATTCCCCCTTTCCCAGGAATTCCCCTCCCATTCCCCCAGGATCCCGTCGTGTCCCATCCCTTCAAACGCCACCAACATTCCCGATCCAAATCCCTCCTGGGGGCCGTTTTCCCAGGGGAATGGCCCCGGAATTCCAGGGTTACCTCGGTGGGGATCTCCACGAGCCCAAACTGCTCGTTGAATTCCGGGGAGGAGCCCGAGAGGAGCCCCACGATGGCCATTCCCGACAGGACGATGCTCCAGAGCAGGGGCTTGTTCTCCTGGAGACTCTCCATGAAGGGATGGCCCTGGGAGACAGGGAATGGCTTGGGATGGGGGACTGGGAGGGACTGGGGGGATGAGAGGGAATGGAGGGACTGGGAGGGACTGGGGGGGACTGGGAGGGATGAGAGGGAATGGAGGGAATGAGGGACTGGGAGGGAATGGGAGGGACTGGGAGGGAATGGGAAGGACTGGGAAGGACTGGGAGGGAATGGAGGGAATGGGGGGAATGGGGGGAATGGGACACTGGAAAAGGTTCCCAAGGGAAGTGGGAAAAGGTTCCTGAGGGAGCTCAGGGAGTGCTTGGCTGAGGATTTCAGGGATTTTGGGATTCCTGAGCAGGGAATGGGGCGGGATGGCTGATCCCGAGGGCTGATCCCGAGGGATATTCCCTGGATCTCAAGGCACCTTGTAGTTGATGGCGAAGGTGACCATCTGCATGGCCATGGACAGGATGTACACGGTGCTGTTCACCAGGCTCGGCTCGAATTCCTTGCTCAGATCCACAAATTCTTCCTCCCTGCAACGGGAAAACACCTTGGAGGCGCAGCTGGGCCCGCTCCGGGCCTGGAATTCCCGGCAGGAATTTGGGATGCCTGGGGTTTTTTGGGAATGGAGGCTCACCTGGGCCCGCTCCGGGCCTGGGCCCCCCGGTACAGGAAGACGAGGCTCAGGAAGTGCACCAGGAACTGCAGCAGCACCGTCAGCACCGTGTACAGGTTAAAGATGTTGGGAAGGGGCCTCTCCTTGGAAAGGGTCTTCAAAGGCTGGGAATGGGGGGAAAAAACGGAGTGGGGTGGGCTGGGATGCCTTGGGAAGGCTCCGAATCCCAACGGTGTCTGTGGGCTGCAGGAATTCCCCCTCGGGAGTGGAATTCCAAGGCTGGGAGCAACCTGGTCCATGGAATGTGCCCCTGGAGGCAGGATGGGCTGGGATTTAAGGTCCCTTCCCATTCAAACCATTCCAGGATTCCCTAATTCCATGATTTTAAGGAACAGCCTCAGTGGAACCATTTTTTCCTATGCTGCCCTTTCCCACCTTTTCCCGTCAGTTGGGATCACAGGGGGCTTCCCCGGGCAAGGACTGGCCTCAGGAGCATCCCAAATCCAAGGGAACACTAACTCCCACCCCTCCAGGATCAGGGACTGGGAATTTACCACAAAAACCGGGATGTTTTGGGGGAGAAAGGCCCTTTTCCTTCAGTTTTGGAGGGATGGGCATGGGCCAAGCAGAATTCCCGCAGAATTCCCGGCATTCACCTTGGAGCGGGAGATGAAGAGGAAGCAGCCAGCCAGGAGCAGCCCCTGGAGCGTGGCCTGGAAGTCACTGAACTTGACGCCCTCGAGGTAGAGGACGCTCTGGCTGTAGGCCAGGATCAGGGCGTTCAACGCCAGGATCTTGAACATCTGCAGCGTCGTCACCAGCGTGCAGCGGCCCTGCTTGATCACGTGGCAGACTGGGGAAAAACAGGGAAAAACGGGGATAAACACGAGGAAAACAGGGCTTGGGGCTCGGTCCTGCCCCAAAAAGGGGGCCTGAGGGGATTTGAGCTCGGCCCAGAAGTCCCACATGGGGGCTGGTCCATGTAAAAAGGTGGGGAAGGCCTGGATTCCCACACAAAATGGCGGGGAAGGCCTGGATTCCCACACAAAATGGCGGGGAAGGCCTGGATTCCCACACAAAATGGCGGGGAAGGCCTGGATTCCCACACAAAATAGGGGAAAAGGCCTGGATTCCCACACAAAATGGTGGCAAAGCCTTGGATTCCCACATAGAAAAGGCAGGAAAGCCCTGGATTCCCACATAAAATGGTGGCAAAGCCTTGGATCTGGGGCTGTTTCTCCCCACCCCAACCCTCTCTCCTGGGTTATTCCCAGCCTGGAGCTGGGGCTGTTTCTCCCCATCCCAGCCCTCTCTCCCGGCTCATTCCCGGGTTATTCCCAGCACTCACTGCACTGGATGGAAGAGAGTTTGGAGGTGAAGGGGGCGGCAATGCTGGCGTCTCCCAGTTTCACCACTGGAGCTCGTTCCTCCTCCAGGTCCTTCAGCACTTGGCTGAGCCGTTCCTGAGGGACGGGAAAAGTGGGATGTGAATTCCCAGAATGGTCCCATGCCATCCCTGCTCCATGGATGGGGGAACGGAGGGAAAAGCTGCTCCTTTCCCACCCAAATCCACGGGGAAAAGGAAGGAAGGTTGGGCTCTGCCTGGGCTGAGGAGTTTTAAGGTGCCTCCCAAGCAGAATTCCATGATCTGCTCCCTGTTTTCCCTGTATTTGTGGCTGGGATCACACCCCAGCTCCAGGAGTGCCAGAGGAGGACTCAAAAGCCTGGATAAACCCTCTGGAATCGCACCCTGTGGATGGCCAGCTGCTCCTCCCGCTGGGACAGGACCCTGTGCTTGGCTCCCCGGGATGTGGGTCTCACATTCCCGACTCCTGCCGCTGGAATTCCGGCTCTCCCGTCCCCGGTGCCGTCCCGGGGCCGCTTCTTCCGCTCGGGAATCCTCTCGGGAGCGTTTGCCAGCAGGGCCACTCCTGGAAAACGGAGGAAAAACAGGGAAAAAAGGGCCGTAAATCCCTCAGGTTTTTCTACGCAGTCAGTGGCTGCAACTGGAGCAGGGAACTGGGGAGGGATTTTAGGGAAGAAAAGTAGGGGGAATGAAGGAATTGGGGAGAGATTTCAGGGAAAAAAGCGGCTGTAAAGCCATTTGTTTTTCCACACAGCAGGATCCCAACCTGGAGCCAGGAGAGGAGGGAATCTGGGAAGGATTTGGGGAGAAAAAAGTGGAGAGAATCAGGCAATTTGGGAGGGACTGCAGGAAGAATCAGGGAATTTGGGAGGCAATATAGGGAGGAAAAGCAGGGAGAATCAAGGAATTTGGGAGGGATTTTAGGGGAAAAACGTAGGGAGAATCAGGGAATTTCAGGGAAAAAAAACAGGGAGAATCCTGGAAAAAGCGTTTGGAGCCAGTTCCTGCTGGTGTGCAGTTCCAGGAGCAGAGAAATCCCTCTGTATCTGAATTCCTGCCTCCAAACGATTCGGGCAGGCGGATTCCCAGCCCTGGCACTCCAGAAAACCCCGGGAATCTGGGGAAATCCCAGGAATTCTCACCCACATCCGCGTGTTTCAGGGCCCCCACGTCATTGGTGCCATCCCCACACATGAGGGTGGAGAAGCCGAGGCTCTTCAGCGTGGTGATCACGAATTCCTGGCGGGAAAAGGCCCAAATGTTGGGAATTTGGAGCCTCACACCCAGGCTCCTAAAAGCTCCAAAGTTTGGGAATTCAGAGCTGGAACAGGCTTGGGATTGTTCAGGATGACAACAGGGACACCCCTGAGCATCATCCCTATACTCCAAAAGCTCTGGATTTTGGGAATTCCGAGCTGGAACAGGCTCAGGGCTCTTCAGGACAACAACAGGGACACCCTGAGCCTCACTCACAGGCTCCAGATTTTGGGAATTCCGAGCTGGAATGGGCTCGGGATTGTTCAGGGTAACAGAGGCACCCTGAGCCTCACTCACAGGCTCCAAGTTTTGGGAATTCCGAGCTAGCAAAGGCTCAGGACTCTCCAGGATCTCAACAGGGACACCCTCCTCTTCCACCTGCACCTCCAAACGTTGGGAATTCTCCGGGATAACCCCCCCACTCCCCTCACCTTCTGCTTGGGCACGACCCTGGCGAAGACGCGGATGTGCGGGATGAGCCGGAGCAGCCGCTCCCGGTTCCCGCTCCGGAGGTGCTCCAGGCCCTCCCCGGTCACACACAGGTCAAAGGGCTCCGTCAGCTCCTGCTGGGATTCCGGGAACGCCGGGAGCACCACGGCCCCGTCCCGCGATTCCCACTGCCACGGGGAGCCTGCGGGAACAGGGTTAGGGTTAGGGAATGTCCTGGCCCCTCCCGGATCCCAGCGCTGGGAAAAGCGGGAATTTCGGGTTGTTTGGGTGGCATTTGGTCTTTTTTATGGGGGGGTGTGTGTGTGTCTTATTTTGGGGGTTTTTGTGGGTTTTTTGGGTCTTCTTTTGGGGGTTTTGGGCAGGTTTTTGGGCTCATTTTGGTGTGTTCTGGGGTTTTTTAGCGTATCTTTAGCATGGGGTTTTCTGTGGGTTTTGCCCTTATTTTGGTGTTATTTGGGCTTTATTTTGGAGATATTTGGGCCTTACTTTGGAATTAGTTTGGCCTTATTTTGAAGATATTTTGGCCTGATTTTGGAGCTTTTCTGACCCTATTTTGAAGTTATTTTGGCCTGATTTTGGAGATATTTTGGCCAGATTTTGGAGTTATTTTGACCCTGTTTTGGAGTTGTTTCAGCCCCTTTCCCCCGGCCCATCCCAAATCCCATTCTGGGCACCTTTGGAAGCCGGAGGTTGCAGGATGAGGGTCTTTTCCTTCTGCAGGAAGTGCAGCTCCCTGGCCACGTGGCAGGCAGTCAGGGGGTTGTCCCCCGTGATCATCACCACCTGAGGGACACGGGAGAGGGAATTCTGGGAATTCCAGAGGCACCAACAAAATTCCTGCCTGGAGCAGGTACAGGTCCCAACCCCCCCGAGGTGCAGCCCCCCAGGGAAGGGCCTTGTCCCGTTATCCCACCCCAAAACCAACCCCATATCCACAGGATTTCCCTGTTTTCCACCTTTTCCCTCCACTTTCCCCCTTTTCCCTCACTCCAGAGGCTCCCAATCCCCTGGAAGTGGCACCTGGGCACAGGTTCAGTGGTGCCCATGGAATGTTTGGACTCCACGACCTCCAAGGGCTTTTCCCACCCGACCAAGCCCCTTTTCCCTGGAATTCTGCCCGTCCTTACGTGGTGGGAAGCGTTCTGGATCTCCCTGATGACGGATTTGGAGTCGGCTTTGAGGGGACACGAGACCACGATGAACCCCACAAACCTCAGGTCACATTCCAAGGTTTCCCTTTTCATCTCCCGCACCTGCCAAGGGAAGAATCATTTGGAACACCTGGGAACTGCACCTGGCTTTTCCAACAGGTGATTCCCTGAAGTTAAAGGACCCCCTGGGAACACCAGAGAACCCCTGGAATGGCTCCAGCTGCTCATAAAAGGCTTTTTTTGGCACAAGAAGCTCCTCATTCCCAATTAAAACCAGGCTCTTGGCCAAGGAATTCCATGCCAAACCTCTCCAGCTGTTCCAAGGAAAGACCTGATCCTGCTCTGTGAGCAGGAAACCGGGAATACCGCAGGGAACACAGATCCACAACACCCCAAAACTCACAGCTGGGGGAGGTGGTTTTCCCAGAAAATCCTGATTTTATCAGCAGATCCAGGTGCCCACATCCCAAAAAAAAAGTCCCTCCCTTCCCAGCCCTGCTCCCAGCAACCCCATTTCCCCGGATTTGAAGGCTGGGAAGGATCCAGGTACCTGCTGGTGGGTGAGGTGTCCCAGTTCCTTGTAGCCCAGGGCCAGGACCCGAGCGCCCTCGTGGGAGATCTCCCGGTGCACGGAGTGGTAGTTGCTGGGACATTGGGATAACTAGGGAAAAGGAGGGAAAAACACGGGATTCAGGGAGTTTCCGAGAGAATCCAGGAGCAGATTTGAGCTTTTTGTGGAAAAAGGGGGGAAAATAGGGTAAAAAGAGACTCTGGGATTGTCACTTGTCCTTCCTACAAACTCTGGGATTGTCCCCTGTCCTTCCCACAAACTTTGGGACAAGGCCCCCATCCTGTCCTTCCCAAAACCTCTGGGATTAGTCACCTGTCCTTCCCAAAAGCTTTGGGACAAGTCACTTGTCCTTCCCACAAAATTTGGGACAAGTCACTTGTCATTCCCACAAAATTTGGGACAAGTCCCCATCCTGTCCATCCCACAAACTCTGGGATGATCCCCTGTCCATCTGATCCCCTGTCCATCCCACAAACTCTAGGATGATCCCCTGTCCATCTGATCCCCCGTCCATCCCACAAACTCTGGGATGATCCCCTGTCCATCTGATCCCCTGCCCACCCCAAACCCCCTGTTCTCACCCCCCGTGTCCCTCCCTTCCCCACACAACCCCTGATCCCTCAGAATTCCAACTCCATCTCCTCTCCCGCCCCCTCCCTCGCCCCCCCCGCCCCAGTGGGAGTGGAATTCCCGTGTGTTTTTCCCGGGAATGCCTCACCATGGGCCGCAGGGTCTCGGGCGCGCCCTTGACGGCGGCGACGAAGGCGAGTTGGGCGCCGGGGCCGCGCTCGTAGGAGGCCAGGACCGACATCCGCTTCAGGGCACTGGAGAAATGAAAGCGCTGGTGAATTTTCATCCCCGGAGTTTTTAGACTCCTTGGGAAAACTTTCTCATCTGGAAACAAAGAGATCGGGAAATCCTGAAAGGGGCTTTTTGTGGAGGGGGGAGAAGAAAAAAAAAGGGAATTATAAAAAAAAAAACAAAAACAAGCAAAAATAAAAGGTCCCACCCCGTGGGGGAAGGAGGGAGGGATCGAGGGGGAGTTTGGAGGGAATTCGAGCAAAATTCAGGATAATTCCAGAATTCAGAGGAAATTGGGGGAATTTGGGTGGAATCAGGGTAATTTGTGTGGAATTCAAGACAGTTTGGGGGGAATTCAGGATAATTCATGTGGAATTCAGGGCAGTTTGGGTGGAATTCAGGTGGAATTCAGGTGGAATTCAGGGGAATTCAGGGGAATTCAGGGGAAATCAGGATAGTTCCTGTGGAATTCAGGGGGGATTCAGGGGAATTTGGGTGGAATTCAGGCAGAATTCAGGACAATTCAGATGGAATTCAGGGGAATTCAGGTGGAATTCAGGTGGAATTTAGGGTGACTCAGTGGAATTTGGGTGGAATTCAGGCCATGGGATGTGTCCCTGCCCTTGGATCAGGACGATCCTTAAGGTCCCTTCCCAGCCAGCCCATCCCAGACTCCCCAGGCTCGGATTTCCCTGGAATGGGGGTTTACCTTTGGTCAGGGTCCAGTCCACGGCCAGGAGCATGGCCTTTTCCAGAGGATCTCCCACCAGCGTCCCGTCCTCCAGCTGCACCAGGGAGTGGCAGGTGGCGATGGCCCGGTGGGTTTCCACGGGAATGTCGGACACGGGAGTCACCTCCTTCCCATCCCTATGGAATAACAGGGCAACAGACCCGCTCTGGGACACCCTGGAACGATTCCCAGCTTGGAATTCCCGCCCCAACCCAAAGGGGAGCAAAGGCCACGGGACGGCGGGGCTGGTTCAGTGGGAATTCGGGCCAAATCCTGGGATTTTGGCCGGTTCTGCCAAGGAAACTCGGGGAATTGGCACATCAAAGGGCAGATCCAAAGGATTTGGGAGGCTCCAAGCGCTGGGAATTCCGGCAGCGGGACAGGAAGGGTGGGATGTGCCACAGGGAAGAGCTTGGCAGCCTCAGAATCCTGGGGAATTCCCACCAAATCCCTGCTCCTCGAATCCCCAGGGATCTCCCCCTGCCCCACCGGGATGTGCCCAAGGAATTCCCGCGTGGAAATCCAGGAATGGGGGCTCCCAGGACCCACCTGAGCCCGGCCACCCCCCGCACCACCAGGTGGTCGCTGGTCAAGGTCCCGGTTTTGTCGAAGCAACAAACTTGGACTTTCCCAGCAAAGGGGATCCGGAAAGGCTCCGTGCAGTAAACGTCTGGAGAGGGAAAACAGGGAATTTGGGTGGGAATCCCCTGGGATTGCAGCCCAGCAGTGGGATTGGCAACACAAGGATCCGGATGGTGGATCCAAACTGGGAGGACCGGGAGGCAGGGAAAAGTCCCAAAGGTTTTATCCGCATGGGAATTCCTAAACCATAGGGATTCCTGTTGGAATTCCTGTTCCACAGGGATGGAAAGAGGAAGGAAGGGAAGGGAAAGAAAGGGAAGGAGAAAGAAGGGAAGGAGAAGGAAGAAAACATCATTGGAATTTTATCCTAATTCCACAGGAATTTCATGCCAATGGAGATTCCTGTTCCACAAGAATTCCTACTGAAATTCCTGCTCCATAGGAATGGAAGGAATATGGAAGGGAAGGAGGAAGAAAAAGGAAGACAAGGAAAAGAAAGAGAAGAAGGGGATCTCATTAGGAATTTCATCCTAATTATACAAAAATCCTGGAATCATGGAATGGGTTGGCTGGGAAGGGACTTTAAAATCCATCCCATTATCCCAGTGAATTCCAAAGGCAGGGACACTTTCCAGGGCCCAGGTGGATCCAGCCTGGCCTTGGGCACTTCCCGGGATGGAGTAGCCACAGCTTCTCTGGGAATTCCATCCCATTCCCTCCCCGCCCTCCCAGTCAAGGATTCCTTCCCCAAATCCACCTCGATCCCCCTTTTCCAGGGGGAAGCCATTCCCTGTGTCCCATCCCTCCAGCCCTTCTCCCAAGCCCCTCTCCCGCTCTCCTGGAGCCCCTGGAATGTGCTGGAAGCTCTCCCTGGATCCTTCTCCAGGGGAACATTCCCAGCTCTCCCAGCCTGTGCCCAGAGCAGAATCCTGGAATCCTGGGACGCTCTGGGTGCCTGATTCCAGGGGGAGCCCTTTCCCAGGGCGGGAATGTTGGGAATGGGGACTCACAGAGCTTGGCCAGGGCGATGAGGGAGGTGTTCACGGCCAGGGAGAGCTCGATGGGCAGCTCCGGGGGCACCACGGACGTCAGGATCAGGGCACACTCCAGGAACAGCCGGTAGTGGTTCCGCCGCGGATCCTTCGTGCCTGCGGGATGGGGACGGATCAGCTCAGCTTGGAATGGGATCAGATCAGCTCGGGATGGGATCGGCTCAGCTGGGAATGGGATCGGCTCAGCTCCGCATCCCAGGGGAACAGGGAGCGGATCCTGCCCGGAAAGGATCCCGGGATCCAGGGTGGGCTCCTGAGCTGGAGCTCTGGAGAAGGCAGATCCAGGAGTAATTCCCAGGGATTGGCACCTGTCCTTCCCAAAAACTCTGGAACAAGTCCCTGTCTTGTCCTTCCCAGAAACTTTGGTGAAAGTCCCTCTCCTGTCCTTCCTAAAAACTCTGGGAATGTCATTTGTCCTTTCCACAAACTTTGGGATTAGTCCTTCCCACAAACTCCGGGACTCCTCCTTCCCAAACCTTCAGGACAAGCCCTCCCTCCCTTCCCCAACCCTTTGGGAATTCTGCCAGGAGGGGGGACAATCCCAAGGCCCCGGGGAGCCTTCCTGGAACATTCCCAGCACATTCCCACCCTCGATCCAGACGTAGGCGGCGGCAGCGATGGCGAAGACGAGGAGGAAGAGGATGAAGATGAAGGTCTCCAGGTTATTGGCCGTCACCCTCTTCACTCCAAACAGGATCGTCCGGAGCAGCTTTCCCTGGGAACAAGAGCCTTCAGTGCCAGGGCTTCAAAGGAATCCCACAGAATTCCTTAAAAAGGGCCCCGGGATTCAAATCCCGGCTCCGGGGTTTTGTTTCCAGAGCCTGGAAATCCCGGGGCTTCCTCTTCCCAACCTTCCTCCTTCCTCTTCCCAACCTTCCTCCTTCCTCTTCCCAATCTTATTTCTTCTTCCCAGCCTGATTTAACCCTCTTCCCAATCCTTATTTATTCCTCTTCCCAACCTCGTTTCTCTTTCTTTCCAATCTTATTTATCCCTTTCCAATCCTTATCCCTCTTCCCACCTTTAATTATCCCTCACCCAAACCTTATTTATTCCTCTCCCCAATCTTTCTTCCTCTCCCAAACCTGACTGCTTCCTCTTCCCAACCTCATTCCCTATTCTTCCCAACCTCACTCCAAACAAGTTCCTCTTCCAACCGAACCCGGAATTCCCGTTCCCAGCTCACCTGGGAGGTGTTGAATCCCGTCCTCAGGGCGTAGGCGACGCATCCGTTATCCACGGCTGCGGGAAGGGGGAGGAAACCCGGAGTGAATCCCCCCAGGGTCATTCCAGCCCGGAGTGAATCCCT